ATAGGGTTATGTGTATGGCCGCAAATTCCGAAATGCTTTCAGAATTTGGTTAGTATGTTGAAAATAATTGTAATATGTAAATTTAATACATCATCTCATCATGTTTCTTAAATTTTTTTTTTCATACCATTTTTTGGATCTTGTTATCTAATGAATTGTTGGAATACCAATAATTGGGATTATACCAAACGATGTGAAGTGGAAGAAAAATATTTGATTCCTTTAATGAATTGGATAATGCAAGAACATCCATATTGGAATAAAACTAATGGAAGGGATCATATCATGGTTCATCCTATGGATCGAGGTTCACTTTATTATCCAAAAAGTCAAAATTTGATGCTGAATGCCAGCTTCTTAACTATAGTTGGCGATAAAAGAATTTCTGGTTTTATGGAACATAGATATCGACGTATGAGAGATATTGTGATTCCTTCAGCTACTAGGATTTTGAAAGTAGCAAAAATTAATCCAAGAGATTATGTAGATGATGATGGAAATAAGAATAATAGAGACATTTTTGCAACGTTTAGGGGTTGTTGTCGGAACGTTAAACCGGACGATGAATATTCCCTTGGTATTAGATCAATATTGTTTAGTGGATTGGCAAAATCTCCAAGATATAAGATTGATGAAGAGGAAAATCATACACACGAAGATTATGCCAAGTTATTAGCGAGAACAAAGTTTGGACTCGCACCTCAAGGATGGACTTTGGACACTACTAGGCTTTGGGAATATTTAGCCTTTGGAGTTGTGCCCGTTATAATCGCTGATGGAATCGTATTACCTTTTGAAAATGACATTGATTGGAAGAGGTATCTTTTATTTTCATATTTTATACTGTAAATGAAATGTATTGACGTTAATTTTTATTTTCTAGCATGGTGGTTTTTATTCGTCGAGATGAAGCACATCTTATTGATGAAATATTACTTTCAATAACCGAAAATGAATATCAACGAAAAAGACACCGTGTATGGGAGATAGGTAGTCAAATAGATAAAAATCCATGGCACTATATTGCACGAGATTTATGTAGAATGTTAGATCAAATTGAGCCTATTAAATTAGACTTATAAGAAATATTTAGCGAACATGGCGAATATACTCGCTGATTTTTTAAAATTTTTTTTACTTATAGAGTAAGCACCAAAAGTAATGCTTTATTTTTAATAAAATGAAATTTTAGCTATAAAACAATTTTCATTTGTATTAAATACATAAAAAATTTTTATTACTAATTAATACTTTGTTGAAAGTCAATATTACATTGGCTCTTTGTAGCATTGAGTCCGTAACTACCCAAAGAACATACCTATTTTAGGTAGCTTTGAGTATAGTTAACATTACAAGATTTTACAATTCTGCATCAATTGCTATCAATTGTCTATTAACAATATAGATAAATGCAATTTAGTGAATTATATTAATAACATGGACATGGCTTGTTTTTTTAAACTATTTTATTGCCTTTTTATAATATTAATTTAATAATAATTTTTTTTAAAACCAAAAAAATAAAAAAATAAATAAAAATTATAAATTTATTTAGCATTCATCGTTTTTAAGATAACCCTAACATTAATGAATTTTAAAATTTTTACTGCGTCACAATGATCGACATAACCTGGCACGGGAAAAGTAGGGGTTCTTTTAGGAAGCTGACTAATAAATAGGCTTATCGGCGGAACTGCATAATCTGATAAATAGAGAAAAATTTATTGTTCATAATTCCGGTCAAACCTGCAAAACATTTGGCCAGAACTAAACCAATTTTTTTAAATCTGGTCAAATGATCTGCAATTTTGACCAGAATTATAGACAATGAGTTTCTACATTAATATACAAATCAAAACCGTTTAGAATATTCTATAAAATAGGTGGCAAACTCCACAAACTTTGCAGCTCCATTATTAAAAAATCAATAATTATTAATCATTAGCTAATCTTATTTCTTATATTACCCAACTATGCTATAAAATATCCACATTCTTATATATAATTTTTTACTATTATTTACTTTAGTGTATATAAAATTTAGCAACTTCATGTAGTTACTATTTTAAAAATTATTAATAAAGATATAAGCAAAACCTCCCTTAAAAGAAAATTTTGTAAATTATACTATATAATAATTTTAAAAATTATTTAAGATTTAAATTTAAATTATACTATATAATAAGAAATTTATAATTTGGTACACTATGCACCCACTGATCAAGGGATATAAATAGTGATCATCAACTGATTATTAGTTGAATTTTTTATTTTTTGTTTCAACGCGTTTTACTAAGCACTAATTTTTTTTGCAACAGTTTTAAATTATAATCATTGTTGATGTCATCTGTATTAGATCTTTTACTTGGAATTAGTGTAATTATCATTACCAGAGATGTTATTTGGAGTTGGTGTTATAATTTTGCTGCAATGGTGAATTGTGTATTATTGTTATTGTTTGCTATTGTTGGTGAAAATTTGTATCATTATAGGTACATCATTTAGATGTTACTTTTTGTATATTGACAATAATAACCCTGTTTAGAAAAGCAATCACTTGTGTCTAGTTTTGTTGCCTAGTTTTGTTGCTAATGCATCATTATATGACAATGTTGAATAATAGAAGTTAGGTTTAGTTTGAGTTAAGAATTTAGAATTAGAGTATTATTCTTGCTTTCTTTCTTATGAATATGTTATTAACAGTTGTTCTTTTTTCTAAGATGTTTATAAAAATTGTAGGCATTTATCTAGTTATTTGAAATGTATGTTTTTCATTTGTTTTTGTGTCTTGTTTTTATAAATGTACTTCTAATACATTTTTTTTTAAAGTTGCTAGACATCTTGAAAACTGTTATACATTTGTCTTAGAAATTTTAAGAAGTATAATTTTGTAGATTTATTGTTCTTGTTTTTTTTCTATAAACATGTATTACTAACACTTCTTTCTGTTTCTAGTTTTTAGGACTTTTTTGAATTTTCTTAGAATTTATAAAAGGTTGCTAGGCTTCTTAAAAACTATTGGGAATTTGTTTTAGAAATTTTGGGAAGTATGATTTTGTAGATTCATTGTTGTTTTTTTTTGTTATAAATGTATTACTAAGATTTTTTCTGTTTCTAGTTTTTAGAATGTCTCTAAATTTTTTTGAAATTTTTGTAGAGTATATGACTTACAAATTTAAAACATATTGTTTTATTTTTTAATTGCTGTTTTTGTTTTGTAAATATATTACTAATGTTTTTTATTTTTCTAGGTTAGATTGGTCTTGAGAATTTTTATAGATACTATTTCTTTGCTATGCTAGTTTGTATATTTTTCTTCTTTTTTCTACTAATATTTTTTCTTTTTTGTAATCACTTATTGCTTTTCTGTACTATTATGCAATGCTCTTATATTGGTATATTATTATTAGATGAAGAATTACTTTTGTTATTAGTGTTGTGATAAAATACTTATTAGTATATTGTTGATTTCATTATTATTGTATTCAGAGTTGTTATTGTATAAAAATCTTGAATACTTAGATTTTATTGCTTTTGCTATTAGTTAGAGTTAGGTATTTTAAATTTTATCTTTACTGTTAATTTAATTAGAGTTAAAATAGAGTTGTAAATAGATAATAAACAAGCTAATAGACTTAATAGACAGTCTAATGGTTTAATGATATCAAATTAATTTATTAAACAATAGACAAATAACTATATAATTTATAATAATCTAATTGGTTAATTTTAGTAATAATTATCTTGCTAATATATAAAAAATTAAAAAATTATAAATGGTGACCCATTGCTATGGTGACTTCTATATGATTAGCCAATCATTTTTAAAATCAGCAATTATATATAAACAATGATTATCCTTTTGATTATTATTGTTTTTTTTTTGTGCTTGTTTTTTTCTTTTTGCATTTGTTTTTTTATTTTATTTTTGATTTAAATAGCTTCTTTTTTTCTTCTCTTTAATAGTTTTGTTCATCGTTAGAGTAGTCGCTGGAGTCATTATTGGAGCTGTCATTAGAATTATCATTGAGTTATTGAAGCTTGGACTAGAGCTCTAAAACTGTTGCAAAGTCGTGGAGATTTTGCGAATAAACTGGGATCTTGTGAGATAAGTGGTTTCTTTTTTTTTTTTTCTTTTCTTCTTTTTTTTTTTTTTTTTATATATATATTTCTTTTCTTTGAACTAATATTAACTTTTTGTAGATTTGCCTCTTAGAAGGCCAGACAGTAGAATTAGAGCTGGGATTCTGCAAGATATATTTTTTTTTGTTTGTTTTTTTTTTAGCTTTTCTTTCTTTGAACTAACACTTTCTTTTTTTTGTAGGTTTGCTTCACTGGAAAATCAAGTATTGAAGATAAGAATCAAGATGGTTCCAGTTTTCATCGTTTCAGTGCCATTATTTATGAAGTATAGAGATTCTGGGCTTTTGTCGTTTGGTGTCGTCATTAAGGAGTATGGAGATTCTGGGCTTTCATCGTTCAGTGTTG